AAGGTCATTCTTTACCTTAACCTTTATCTTTATCTTAGTCTTTTTGCATCTATGATAACATATCCTAGAAATGTCAAGGTTACTTGTAACTTCCCTTTTTCCAGACCCCTCAGGGCACAACCAAATGTCCTGGGTGCCAGGATAGATACCACAAATTCCTTCATTGTTATTGTCATCATGTTAATTGTTGACTGTTAACTATCCAGTACCCACCTAAGTAAAAGAAGTATGTGTCTATCATATTACTTTTTATTCAATCCCAGAAGTCCTCCCACCTTTGCTTTCTCCCGCCTCTCTAATCTATCACCAATGGATTTCATTTAACACACCTACATCTCCTCCTTTGATTGTAATTTATAAAAATAGGTTAAAAACAAAAACAAACTTCCATTCTCTGGAGCATTATCCCAATCCATTGAGATTCTGCTTCCCAGCAATTGCCAACAGTTTGGCTCAAATAAACTCACAAAAATTCTCTATAGGTTTGAATATTTCTTACTTTGACATTTGCATGAGGTACCTAGAGGCAGAAAGGATAAGAGAGGTTGCCAGGGGCTTCGGGAAGGGGATAGTAGGGAGTTTCAGTTGGGCAAGATGAGTTCAGTGGATGGATGAAGATGCTGGTTGCAGAACAATGTACTTAATACCACTGATCTCTACACTTAAAAATGGTTAACATGGTAACTATTGTTGTGCATATTTTACCACCACAACAAAAAGTCACCTTCATCGTGAAGTCTTCTGAGCCACCCTTTATAAAATGTCAACCGCTGGGCAGGCTGGAAGAGGGATGGAATCCTGGTTTGGCAGGGCAGGGACAGGGCCAGAACCTGGGAACTTCTGGGACACCTCTGGGAGAAGGGAAAAGGGAGGGGGTTTCAAAAAGGCAGGATCTGGGAGGTGCAGAAGCAGACAGGCGTGAGTTCCCAGGGCGATTTGCTTTCTGGGAGAGGAGAGATTGAGTAGAGGCAGGGGTCAGTATTTCGGAGGAGCTAGCCTGGGCCTATACCTGCAGGAAGGATGTGGTTCCCCTAGTTCAGCTCCTTGGCCCTTCACAGCTCCTGCCACCACCTCTGCTGACCTGGCTGCTATAGAAGCAGATACAGCAGGAGGGCCTGCAGCGTCACTGCCTCGCGCCTTCCACCTGCGTGCCCTCCCGTGGCGTTGTACAGTTTGTTTTGGTCTTGACCTGCATGCCCACCCTCTGTATCCATAGCCCCAGCAAGAAAGCAATTGTGGCCAGGCTCGAAGGACCCATCTTTGGAAAGTCCTGACCCCAAGGGACAGGGGTCCTATATTGGTCACTGCCAGATGCCAGCCGGGCAGGAAGTTGAGTCTGACCCAGAGAGACAGAGAGAGACCAATATCCATGACCTCTTCTACCCCCAGATGACCTCTTTAGAGGCCAGTCTGAGACCTGGGTCAAGATCAAGCACGGTGCCTAAGCAGGACAACGGTGCTCTTGTATCCCAGCCAAGATGGGTCAGGGGTGCTGTTTCTGCTCCCTCTGTCTAGAACCCTTGAGTGGAAACCCCTTTGGCTGGAGCAAAGGCCTGGAGGCATTAGAGCTGCTCACTTAGGATCCTGACCATGAAAGCACTATTCTATCTTGAGACCCTGGTCATGACAGCCTATTCTGCCCAGCTCTCAAAGAGCCCTATTTTCAGGGTCTCTTCCCCCAGAGTTTATCACCAAAGCTGGGGCCCTCCCAGTGCCTTCCCAGTGCTCAGGCCTGGGGATAGCCCTACTGTGCCTGTTATTCTGGGTCCTACTACAGCCCCTCTCCTTGTGACATCTCCCTCCACCCCCTAAACCATCATAGTCAGGCCCAGTTTCAACGGCTAAAACCTGAATCCCTTGCCAGGCTGAAGCATGTACTATTTCATTTAATCACAGCAACCCTATGAAGTACTATTTATTATTGCCATTTTTACAGATGAGAAAACTAAGGCTCAGAGAAGTTAAGCAACTTGGCCCAAGTCATACAGCTAGTGAATGTTGGAGGTAGATTTCAAACCAAGGTCCGCCTGGCTTTTGGAACCCATGTCCTCAAATTCACTGGTCTGCAGAGTAGACCAACTGCCTTTTGCTTTTCACCACCATTGACCAGCTTCTGGGTACTGCCCTCCTGGCTGCAGACCTTTGTTTGTTTGTTTCTTTTTTAAGCCCCATCCCCTGATCATATCCTTCTCCCTCTTGCAATGAAACTCAACTGTAAGTCATCACATCACAATGAATCTCTTTTTAATGCCTGGAACCAAGACATCCATCCCAAATGCTTCCCGAACCTTATGCTCCATTGCTCCTTTGAGGATTTGGCTCACATTCCTCACTGACCTTTTGCTCATTCCATTTGCCCTTCTTGGAATACCCTTCCCAAGCCATTCAGGAGCGCCAGCTGAAGTCCTGGAAGACTCCTAATTCCTCAATCCAGTTACGTCACACAATTCTGGGGCTCAAGGCCAGAAACACCCCCAGAAAGCTCCTCTGGCCCAATACAAAGTCAGGAAGCTACAAAGAACAAGGAGGGCTAGAGTTCTAGTCCTGTAGGGCTCAGAGGGGGAGAAAGGACACGGGTGCAGCTGTTTCTTTCAGGTCCTGAACCACTGGTTTGTTTCTTGCTTGGGACAAGGAGGTAAAATGATGTTGGGAGAAAAACAGGGCTGAAGAAAGAGACAGGTGGAGCTGAGAGATTGCCCAAGAGAAAGGAGATGTGTGCAGAAGCCATGTAGGCGGCCTATCTTCCTATAATATCCATTTCTCTGGACGATGTTGGGCAGGGAATGAAAATCTGTAACCTAAAACATTTTCTAAAAATTTTTATTGATTGCTTTGAGAGAGAGAGAGAGAGAGAGAGAGAGATATGTCAATTTGCTGTTCCACTTATTTATGCACTCATTGGTTGACTCTTGTATGTGCCCTAACCCAGGTATGGAACCAGCAAGCTTGGTGTATCGGGATGATGCTCTAACAAACTGAGCTACCCCGCCAGGGCTCCCACCTAAAACATTTTAAAGTTAAGCGCTTTAAGTTAAATATCCTAAAATATTTTGAAAGTCTTAACAGGATATGAGGGTTAATAGCAAAATTCTCCAGAATTTTTAAGCTAAAACATGAAATTGCAAATAAAATAAAATATCCCTTGCTTGTGGGGGAGAATTTGGGCTCCTCTCCCAGCTGGGGCAGATTCCCTTTGCTCTGAGGTTGCGGGATGAGAGCCAACGCCGGGCGACGAGTGAAGGCAGCTATTGTGATCTCGGGAGGCCGGGGAGGGGACGCTCAGTGCGTCCCAGAGGCTCTGGAAGGAGGGAGCGGCCGGCGTCCCGCAGCACCTCCGCGTTAGCCTCGGGCGGGAGCGGGGAGCCTTCAGTCTCGGAGTCACGGGCTCCGCTCCGCCCAGCACCGGGTTCCACGTGGTTTTCACCACTCGCCCCGGGGAACCTGGTGGTCCAAAGGGATCTCCAGGTTGGGGTGGTGCGGTAGGAAGAACCGCAAGCAGCCAGGAGGGTCGGTCTGTGACTTCTCCCCGAAACGTGCAAGGAGCGCGCTCTGGGGGGAAAACCGGACTCCACCGGCTTCCGACGACAAGCTTGCGACGGAGAGTCGGAGTCCCGAAGGACAGGTGAGGACGAGTGAGCGGACCAAAGGGAAGGACAGCCCGGGGTCACCAACCAGACCGCCATGGCCGCGCCCGCCCGCCGACTGTGCCATATCGCCTTCCACGTGCCCGCAGGGCAGCCTCTGGCCAGGGACCTGCAGCGCCTCTTCGGCTTCCAGCCCTGGGCGGCGCGGGAGGCCGGCGGCTGGCGGCAGCTCGCCCTGCGCAGCGGCGACGCGGTCTTTTTGGTGAATGAGGGCGCGGGGCCCCGGGAGCCGCTCTACGGCCTGGACCCGCGTCACGCCGTGCCCAGCGCCACCAACCTGTGCTTTGATGTGGCGGACGCGGGTGCAGCCGCCCGGGCGCTGGCGGCAAAGGGCAGCTGCGTGCTGGTGCCTCCTGTTCGTGTGCAGGATGCACTGGGTGCTGCCACCTACACCGTGGTCCGCTCGCCCGCAGGCAACCTCAGCCTGACGCTGCTGGAGCGCACCGACTACCGCGGACCCTTCCTGCCGGGTTTCCGCCCTCTGTCCTCCAAAACCGGCCCGGGATGGTTCAGCCACGTGGACCACCTGACCCTGGCCTGCACCCGCGGCAGCTCCCCTACACTGGTGCGCTGGTTCCACGACTGTCTAGGCTTTCACCACCTGCCACTGAGCCCAGGTGAGGATCCGGAGCTGGGCTTCGAGGTGACAGCGGGGTCTGGACAAGGGGGGCTGAGGCTCACTGCCCTGCAGACCCGGCCATGCAGTGCTGTCCCCACCCTTGTGCTGGCCGAGTCCCTGCCGGGGGCCGCCAGAGGACTGGACCAGGTGCAGCAGTTCCTGGCCCAGCACAGAGGACCAGGCCTGCAGCACGTGGGACTGTACACACCAAACATCATAGAAGCCACTGAAGGGGTGACTTTGGCTGGGGGCCGGCTCCTGACTCCTCCAAAGGCCTACTACCAGCAGCCCGGCAAGGAAAGTCAGATCCGAGCTGCAGGCCATGAGCCCAACCAGCTGGCCCTGCAGGGAATTCTGCTAGACGGCGAGAAAGGCAAGTTTTTGCTTCAGGTCTTCACCAAGTCGCTCTTTGCAGAGGACACCTTCTTCCTGGAGCTGATTCAGAGGCAGGGGGCCACAGGCTTTGGCCAGGGCAACATCCGGGCCTTGTGGCAGTCCGTGGAGGAGCAAGCTGCCAGGGACTGAGGAAGCTGAGGAAGCCAGAGCTGGCAGCCACCTGTCCTGGAGGTCTGGGGAGTTCAGCCCAGGGCCTGGTGGAATAAGGCTATGTCCCTAGGGGCCAGGTGTGGCCTCCATTTCATCAGTACCTGCCAGAAGTTGAATCTCTCACTGGGGTCCAAAGAAGTTTGTTTTTAACTATAAAACACTTTTTACAGTCTATATCTAAATAAAGAATACAGGAGTGTAACTCCTTTAGGAAATGGAACATAACCAACACTCTTGAAGACTTTTATGTCCTTCTCTGACCTCATTTCCCTTTACCCACTCCCAATTTTAGGATTATTAACCCCTTGCTTTTCTGTATTGATTCACTACATATGTAATTGATCCCTAAATAAATGATTTCTTATTTGAGGTAGGAATTTAAGACAGAATAAATCTTTCTCTGTGCTTCTTTCCCTTCTCCCTCAGAAGCAGCCACAGAAGGGGGAGGGGCTAGGTCAAGGCTGAGCCAAACCACTTGCTCTAGAGCGGTGGTTCTCAACCTTCCCAATGCCGCGACCCTTTAATACAGTTCCTCATGTTGTGGTGACCCCCAACCATAAAATTATTTTTGTTGCTACTTCATAACTGTAATTTTGCTACTGTTATGAATCGTAATGTAAATATCTGATATGCAGAATGTATTTTCATTGTTACAAATTGAACATAATTAAAGCATAGTGATTAATCACAAAAACAATATGTAATTATATATTCAATATGTGTTTTCCGATGGTCTTAGGCGACCCCTGTGAAAGGGTCGGTCGACCCCCAAAGGGGTCGTGACCCACAGGTTGAGAACTGCTGCTCTAGAGTGATACCACTGCTACAGAACTAACCAGAGACCTGGAGTGAAGGTGTGGGTATCAACCACTGGCAGGGACTTCCTGCGGCTGCCTTCTCCCTCTTTCCTGGGGGCTGAGGGGGGCAGATCACTCTGGATAGAACATGCTCCTCTATCTGCCCAGGGCTGGCTGGGAGCTCAGCCAGAGGAAGTCAGGACCAAGCAGGACTTGACCACTTCCTGGAACCCTCAGAGATGAGGAGGAAGGGGGCTAGGCAGAGGATGGAAAGTCTCCAAATGACTATAAAAATAAGTACTTTATTAAAAAACAGGATTCTCAAGGGGAGGGCGCTTCCAGATGTGTCACTGGGCCGCACTGTTGAGTCTAGGTGCATCTGTGGGGATATGGGGCCGAAAGAAACGATCCAGGACTTGCTGGCCTGGGCTGGGCTTTTTCCGGCTGGATGGAGTCGACACCTGGGATCTTTTGGAACTCTGTTTAGAAGGCATTAAGGGGGCAGTGAAGAATATTCTCCTTTCACCCCTACCCCCACTCCACTGCTCTAGCTGACTCTAGCCTGAATGTAGGAAAGCTTCCAACCTATCTCCAGGATCTGCCTCTTCCATCAACTCTCTAAACGGCAGTCCAAGGTAATCTTCCTCAAATATAAATCCGACTCCTCTCTCCACCTAACATGCTTCATTGGGCTGGTGTTCATGGCCCTGCTGATTGCTCCGGCTAGATGCTCAGAGTTCCTCACACACGCAGACTGCATTGTGCCCATCATTGCTTACACTACTTTTTATTGTTTTTGTTAATCCTCACCGAGGAGGCCTTTTCCACTGATTTTTAATCCTCACCTGAGGATATTTTTTCCATTGACTTTTAGAGAGAGAGAGAGAGAGAGAGAAAACATTGAATGGCGGTCTCCCGTGCAGGCCCGACTGGGGCGGGGATCAAACCTGTAACCCAGGTACATGCCCTTGACCAGAATCCTTCAGTGCTCAAGTCAAGATCTAACCACTGAGCAACACAAACCAGGGCTACTTAAACTATCCTTAGGCCTGGAAGAACATCTTTATTGCTGATTCCCTTCCCAAACCTGGAAAAAATGATTCATTTCTAGGACCCACATTACCAGCCACTTCTTTCAAGCAGCCTTTCCCTGATCCTTTCCTCCCAGACAGACCTGAGAGCATTACCTCATATCCAACAAAATCTAGTACAAACATTTCACACATCTGACACTACTGTCTCCATCATTTTCTCTTGTTCCCTCTCCACCTGGACCCTAGACTGTAAGGTCTCTACGTCATTCCTCGGCCCCCGGTGAAACTCGGAGTGGACAATGTTCACCCAAATATGTCCTTAACTCACTGAAAACCTGTGGATTCAGGCCTAGGGAGAGAGATGGCTGGGCGAGGGCCAGGGGACTCACCTTGCAGGTCCCCGACTGCTGGCCTTCATACACCCGGAACACCTAGCCAAGAAGAGAGGGGAGAGTGCAGGGCTGGCATCTTCTTCCAAAGCCAGAACCCTGTCCTTTTTTATTTTTATTTTTCCTGTTTATATGGTAATAGGTTCATGCAGAACATGTAGGGAGCACAACAAAGACAACAAAGATAGTGCCTTTTTCATGGCGGTGGAGACAGCTGCGGTGTGAAACTCTTCCCGAGTCAGCCAGCGCGCGCCAGGTGCTGTGACTGTCACTGGGGCCTGCCCTTCCAGGGCCAGACCATATACTTGATAGGTCAGCTTGATGTGAGAGAAGGTGTGGACCACCTGGGGGAGGACCAAGGGGCTGAAATAGGCCCGTGGCTGTGGCTGAAAAAGCCGTCATTTTTGGCCCCTCACTGCTCACTTACCTGCCCTAGGTGATGCAGGTGGGTGGCTGGGAGGGGCCCAGCCCAATTCTGCAGTTCCTGCAGCAGGGCCTTGCGCTGATGCCGTCCTGAGGGGTCCACAGTCACAGATGGGAACTCCCACAGTCCTGCCAGCAGACCTGAGACAGCGATCAGCAGGTGTGAGTTAGGCCTTAGCTGCTGACTCCTCCGTTCCTCCCCTTTTGCTCACACCACTGCCCTCCACTCCCAGGATCCAGGTACCTGAGTTGGGCCTCTGCACCAGCAGAATTCGGGCACCCCCAGGGGCCCCGGGCTGCTCCAGAACACAGGTGGCAGAGCACTCCGCCCTGGGGGGCTTACGGCTGGCCTTTCTGGGAAAGTTGGCCACTCCCAGCGACTGGTCCCAGGGCTCGGTAGGAGGTGCGCACAGCTGGCACTGTCCAGTGTTGGGAGCTGGGAACAGAGATCCCAAGCCCCACTCAGGCCAAGTGGGCTTACGTGCCAGGCCCAGAGAGCAGGTCTTGGCCCAGCTGTGCAGAATCTAACAGGTTGTAGGATGAACTAGAACAGCCGTGGGCAAACTACGGCCCGCAGGCCGGATCCGGCCCGTTTGAAATGAATAAAATACCCTTTTATGTAATGATGTTTACTTTGAATTTATATTGGTTCACACAAACACTCCATCCATGCTTTTGTTCCGGCCCTCCGGTCCAGTTTAAGAACCTATTGTGGCCCTCGAGTCAAAAAGTTTGCCCACCCCTGAACTAGAATGAGGCTTCCCAGGCAGCTCAGTGACCGTGCAGGGAAGGGCTGGTGCTAGAACCAGACTCACCACACTCCTCCACGTCAGGACTGCCTGGCAGGCTCTGTGAGGCTGGAAGCCGCTCCCGCTCCACCTGGCAGGCATAGGGAAGGAAGTCACGGTGCACGGGGGACTCCCTAGGACCTCGCTGCCCCTTCCCCAGATGGCTCACCCTCTGGTGTGCCCGGCACAGGCTCTGGACAGGGCACTGGCTGCAGTGTGGGTGTTGCGGGGTGCACACTATGGCTCCCAGCTCCATGGCTGCTTGGTTAAAGTCTCCGGGCCGGGCTGGGTCTACCAGCTGCTGGGCTAGGCTCCTACCAGAAGGGAACATTTCTGTGAGCCAAAGATCCTTTGGAGGCACCCCTCCCAATGTCCTGCATTACCCCAATATCCTACCAGAGCTGCTGGGAGACAAAGGTGTTGCTGGGATCGGCACCAATGCCTCGGACACGGCATAGCACCCGCACTACGTTTCCATCCACCACACCGGTCACCTGACACAGAGGAGTCCAGGAGTCAGCCTGGTCTGGGAGGAAAGTGGGCATGCACAGAATGGGGATGGACTATGGACTCACCTGGCCAAAGGCAATGGAAGCAATGGCTCCAGCTGTGTACCGCCCCACGCCAGGCAGGAGCCGCTGCAAGGTCTCTGCTGTGCGTGGCACATGGCCCCTGAGCTCCTCTACCACCTGATTGGGTGGGAAAGGTTCAAGGTTAGGAGACAGCTGAGGGCCTGGGGATCCCACCCTCCCTGCTATCCCCTTACCTTCCGGGCTCCCTCCTGCAGCCGCCGGCCTCGGGAGTAGTACCCCAGGCCAGCCCAGAGCTGGTTCACTTCCTGTGGGTGGGGTCAGAGGTCAGAGAAATCAGCACTCAGTCCTCTGTTGTCCTCATTTCCCCCTCCCCTAGGGTGGGTCTCACCTCCAGGGAAGCACTGGCCAGATCCTGCAGTGTTGGCCACTTCTATAGCCAGAAGACAGGCAAAAATAGAGAGGTCAAGGGTGAGGGAGGAAAAAGAAGCCTTCTTTCTCCCCAGCCCAAAGACAGGCTCTCATCTGGGGTCTAGCCCATCACCCTCCCCTTCCTTCCCTGAAGTCACCTGCATCCATCTGGTATAATAGTCGATCACCGTGGCAACCTGGGTCTGCTGCAGCATGACCTCTGAGACCCATACTGGGGAAGAGGGGTTGGCATGAGGACACTGCGGACCTGCCCTGCTCCTAGCCCACAGCCCTGACTCCAATCTGAGGGTGTCGGGGCAGAAAGCAGCTCTGTTCTCAGGAGATGTACTCACCAGCATATGCCCGCCTGTCCAGGTCCACCTCACCCTCTGCCTGCCAACGCAATCCCAGATGGGGCGTTAGTGTGGAGGGGGCTGGGCACTAGCCTCCCACCCCGGTCCCTGTCCCTGTCCCTCGCCTGCCTACCCGCCTTCTCCAGGGCAGGTCCCGCTTCTTTTGGTCATACCAGCTCAGCAGGCTCTCCCGGAAGACGGTGACCTCGGCTGTATCTCTGAATTGGTGGTACGGGGAGACAGAGGCCTGCAATACCACCTCCTCCTGACGCCTGGCCTGGCCTGCTGGGGCCTCAGGAAACTCAGGAGTTGTCCCTGCACAGGCTGTGCACCAGGAACCTGGGACACTACAGCCTGGTTGCAGTCTGCTTCCACGTAGGGCTCCCCCCACCCCTGACCCCTTGACCTGGAGTCAGTCCAGAATTATCTAGCTGTGTGTAGCCTTAGCCAAGTTTCTAGCCTTAATCTTCCCAGAGTGGCACTGCTGGCTCCTTTTTCTCTGGGTTATAATGAAAATCCAATAGTTTCAGTCAAGCATAACATACCTGTGCAGGGATTTCCCATTTACAAAATACTTTCAGGCAGATCAACTCATTTGATCCTATTAAAGCCACATGAGGAAGAAAATGCACAGACTACTGCTCCACGTCACTGGTAAGAAAGCAGCCATTCAGAGCAATTATCCCAAAATCACATTGCAAAGTCAGAATTAGATCCTTAATTAGTCCCTGCAGGCTTGAACCTGTCCCCTTTCATAGCCAGTGAAACCAGCCCATGAGTTTTTTCCTAGGTCCGAGTTCCTCACCATCAGGGGTAGTAGGCCTGGCCTGGCTGCTGCTGAGGGCATGCTTCTCCCTTTCCTCCCCACTGGATGTCTGCTTCCTGCGACGACTTCCCACAGCTGCGCGTGGCTTCTTCATGACGATCTAGAACACAAAGGCCCAGCCAAAGTAGTCAGTCAAAATTAGGCTGACTCTTGGGGCCCTGTAGGGGGTGGAGCCACCTCCCTCCCTACACCATTCACAGTGTCTAGCTTTTCTCAACAACTCTCTAGACTGGCCAGTGTGCTCAGTGGTTGAACTCACTGGCTCGATTCCTGGTCAGGTCACGTGCCCAGGTTAGGTTGTGGGCTCTATCCTCAGTAGGGGTATACAGGAGCCAGTAGGGGGCATGCAGGAGGCAGCCATTCAGTGGTTCTATCTCCCAATCCTTTCCTCTCTGAAAAATCAATAAAAACATATTTTCTAAAACAAACAACTCTCTAGATCAGCGGTTCTCGAACGACCCTTTCACAGGGGTCGCCTAAGACCATCGGAAAACACATTTAATTACATATTGTTTTGTGATTAATCACTATGCTTTAATTATGTTCAATTTGTAACAATGAAATTGGGGGTCACCACAACATGAGGAACTGTATTAAAGGGTCGCGGCATTAGGAAGGTTGAGAACCACTGCTCTAGATGCTCATGGGCTTGCTCTTGACTGGCTGTGGCCCTGAGGTATGACCAATAGGGCTGAGCTTCTCCAAATGGCCTAAGAGGGACCAGCATTAGTATAGTCCTGGAGACGTACACAGAGTAAGAGGCCAGGGCTGGGCTGGGTCAAGGACCAAAAGCTTCCTGTGTGGGAGCACCTGTGTATACCTGATGCTTATTGTGACTACGTGTGTGGACATGGGTTCTTTAGATGTGTCTAGGAGCACAGGCGTGGGTAGGAGGGTTATCTGCTTAGAGACACAGCACGTTTACAGTGAAGCAGTCTTTAACAGTCATCTAGCCCAAACCTTCATTCTGTAGAAAGGAGAAACCAAGGCTCAGAAAGGGGAAAAGATTTGCCTGAAAGCAGATGTCAAGTCGGGGTGGGGGGAGAGAGATGAGCTATTTTTATGCCTAATCTTTTGTGATCTAGAAAATCATAGCCAGCTGACCATTAGCAAAGAGAAAATGCATCCGGTTGATCTTCATTTCTCCCTTACTGTACTTGTAGCTGCCTTTTCCTAATAGTTAAATGTAGCTAACAGTACGTGCTGACTATACGCCAGACCCTAAGTGCTTTACCAGATTTCTCAATCTCCTGATGATACCATGAAGTATGTTCTAGTATTACGTCCATTTCAGTTATGAGGAAACTGAGACTTGTAGAGATTAAGCAACTTGTTCACTCCAACCCAAAAGGTTTGCTTCCAGAGTCTACATTCTTGAACTCTGCTATACCGCAGTCCCTGCTGAACCTCTGGTTCAAACTCTCTCCTCAAACTCTTGACTTTATCACCTCATTTTCATCAAAAGAGCTTGCTTCCTTCTTGAGAGAAAAAAAAAATGAAATAAACTTACCTCCATCTTCACTTTCCTTCTATGAAAGAAAGGTCCCTCTTCCTAAATTGTCTGAGCTCAGGGTCCTGCTCCTCCAATCCCTTCCACAAGACCCACTTTCCTCTCCTTCATAGCCAAACTTCCTTCCATAATTCATTCTACAATCCATTCTCCATAAAGCAATATTTTAAGACATGATAACAGCACTTTCTTACTTAAAACCTTCAATAGCTTCCCATTAATTCACTGAAAAATATTTATGGAGTGCCTACTTTGTGTCAAGCAGTTTTAGGTACTTCACTAAATAAAACATCCAAGGTTCCTGCCCTCACAGGGTTTATATTCTAATGGAGGCAGACTATAAATAACATACATAAGCAAATTATATAGGATATTAGGTGATAAATATAAGCATAAGGAGAAAAAATAAAGCAGGTGAAGGGGATAACAAATGGGGAGGGGGTGGAATGTTGCAATTTTAAAGAAATGTGGTCCTGGTGGGCCTTGTTAAAGTGTTATTTGACCAATGACTTAAAGCAGTTGAAGAAGTTAGCCACGTGGATACCTGTGGGAAAGGCATACTAAGAAGGAGCTAGTGCAAAGGCCCTAAGGATGGTGCCTGGTGTGTTTGTAGAACAATAAGGAAGCCAGTGTGGTTAAAATAGAATGAGGAGGGGGTAAGGATAGGAAATAAAGTCAGAGAGCTAAAGAAGGGGGCACAGGATCACAAAATACCTTGTAGGCCACTGGAGGACTTTGGCTGTCACACCCATTGCTCTTAAAGCTAATCCTCTTAATATAAGCCTTGTAGGCTCCAGGGCCCCATTTGCCTCATCACCTCATCACTATGCTCCAGCCATGTTTGCCTGAAATAGAAGCTTCCATCCATCAAGTGTCTGTCTACCTTGAGGCCTGACCCAATCCATTTCCTCTACTTGGACAGCTCTTCTCCTATGCTTTACCTAACATCCACTCATTCTTCAGGTCTTGACTTAAATGTCCACGTCAGGCCCCCCCAGTCCTACCCTCTTGTGTTTTTCTCCATTGCTGCTCTTACACCAATTACAATTTCACATTTTTTTTGGTGATTCTTTAATCAGTGTCCACTTCCCCAGCTTGACTGTAAAACTCCATGAGAGCAAGTACTGGGTCTGTTTTGGTGACTGCTGTATCCTCTGAGCTGAGCACAGTGCCAGGTAAATTGTATACAGTAAATACTTGTTAAATTAATTCATGGGATGAAAGGATTTTCCTTTTAGAGTAGGAGAAATCCAAACAATTCTGAATAATGATGAAAAAGACTCAGTAGAAAGGTTGAAAGTGAACAAGGAACAGTGAGTAACCACGGAGAAAGCGTTAAGTCCTTGCTGGGCTGAGAGGATGGGAACGCAGCTCCAGGGAAAGCGCGGTCTCTGGCAGGCACACCTCGCTCCCAGTAGCAGGATCACGTCCAATCCCCTACATCACCGGTACCTCCCAGTTGCTTACACTGTGTCCCTTCCTCTTCGTCTCTACTGCTGGAGCCTAATGCAAGTCATTCTTGTCACCTGCCTGGATTATTTCAAAAGCTTCCCTGCTAGTGGATGGCTCTAAGCCCTCTGCAGCCTCGGCTCGAGTCCTCCTGCCCGCCTTTCACTTTCTGGAACGCAGTGAGTTCCATCCTCCCGGGGAACTCGCCCTTTCCCAGAATAGACATCTTTCCCCCACATTCCCCGGTCTTTGTCTAACTCCTATGGCTGCTTTAAGCTTAGCTCTGGCAGCGCCACCTCCTCTGCGGACACCCACCCCTACCCCGAGCCGTGTCCCTGAAGACAGAGTAAAGCTCACTCCCACGTCCCCACGAACGTACACGAAGAATTACCTCCCACGTTTTCCCGTGTCCGAATACCCCACGTTCCCAGGGGGCGTGGCTCCGGCCAATCCGGGCGGCGAGCTGAACCGTGACAGCCAATAGCATCCCAGAACGCTCCGAACCCGCTCCTCGCGCGCCAGACACCGGAGGTCTGAACGGAACTCCAGCCCCACAGTGACTTCCGGAGGCGAGAGCCTGCCCCTACCCCGAACTCAATAGTCGCGCCAGGAGACAAAGCGGAAGTCCTGCCGTTTCTTGCCACCGACTAGTCAGGCAAGGGCCGCGCGGTGTCATGGCAGCCGACAGTGACGATGGCGCAGCTCCAGCGATCTCTGACAGTGAGTGGCTTTTCAGGGGCCGACTTAAAAGCCTGTGCGCCCTGGGGGAGGGGAAGGCCTCTGGCTCATAGTTCTAGAAACCGACCTCAAGTTTCAGAGGACTAACTTCTCCCTTTTTAACTAGCCACGAGGAGACTACAAGTCCCAGTGTGCACCGCGGCTCGGGCTGCAAAAGCCTGGAGCGTTAGGAGCACAGTTAGGATCGTTAGGGGGCATGTCGGGAAATGTAGTCTGGAACTCATTTCTCTGTTAAGTGGGGCAGGTTGGGAGTTGTGGTCCAAAGGAAGTGGGATATTTTGGGAAGCCAGGTCTAGGGCATTATCTCTGGGGCCTAATTATTATTGGGCTCCGGGCCATACAGGCTACTGCCACCTGTGGCTGCTAAGGCACCAAGGGAACAGTCGTATGGAGCCTGATGGGATATTAAAGGAGCTCAACTCCTGGAGCCGTAACAAATAGTTCCTGCAGGACTTGGGAAAAAGGTACCTCACAGATCATCTAGTGACTAGAATTATTCTAGTCCAAACTTAACCTTCTACAGATAGTGATGCTGAGGGAGAAGTGATTTTCCCAAAGTCTAACATAAGCCCCTGGAAGACGCAGGCTTTTTCTCCCCAAATTCAGGGCACTATTCACTCCAAGGTCTGTGTGTAGAGCATGCTGATACAAAGGCTTGAGGGGGAAAGTTGCCATTTCTTGCCATCATGGAAAATGCCCCCAAGCCATGGCCTAGCTTGGTGTCTACTCCCCGTCCCCCTTGCCTGATCATTAACTTCCATTATTCTGTTCTCCTTACCCCCAGATAGTGTCAGCAAAAGCACAAAACCTGGGGAAGAGCTGGTAGTACAAGTTCCCGTGCTGGATGTGCAAAGTGACAACTTTAAGGAGATGTGGCCATCCCTTCTGCTGGCCATAAAGACAGCTAGCTTCGTGGCTGTAGACACGGTGAGGGTTGGGGAACTGGGAGGGCAGGTGGTTGTGAAAGGGCTGGTGTTGGGGATCTAATTCAGTTCTCCCTTTAACCACCCATAGGAACTGAGTGGGCTTGGGGATAGGAAGAGTTTGCTGAACCCGTAAGTATAATCTGTGATCTCTTTAGTTCCAACCCTGATGAGGGGAAGTGGGGGCAAACCTTAGCCCTGGAGTGGAAGTCACCCTGGGTGGTTTAGGCCCTTCATGAGGCTAACTCCTAGCCACAGCCACCTCCAAACCCAACCCCAAGGTGCATCGAAGAACGTTATAAGGCTGTGTGTCATGCTGCCAGGACCCGTTCTATCCTCTCCCTGGGCCTCGCCTGCTTCAAGCAGCAGCCAGACAAGGTATGTGCTGATTTCATTCCCTTCCCAGGTTTGTGGCTGGGGGAAAGAGGAGGGTTGAGATCCTGGGAACATTATGTGGAAGGTTTTTTTGTTGTTTTCTAAATGTTTTTTATTGATTTGAGAGAGAGTAAGGGAGAGGGAGAGATCGAAACATGAATGATGAGAATCATTGATCAGCTGTCTCATGCACACCCCCTACTGGGGATCAAGCCCGCAACCTGGAATTAAATCATGAACCCTGGTTCATGGGTCCATGCTCAACCATTGAGCCACATTGGCCGGGCACATGTGAGGTTTTGATGTAGCGAACCCTCCTTCTCTCCCAGGGTGAACACTCATACCTGACCCAGGTGTTCAATCTGACCCTGCTGTGTGTGGAAGAGTATGTCATAGAACCAAAGTCTGTGCAGTTCCTGGTACAGCATGGCTTCAACTTTAACAGGCAGTATGCCCAGGGTATCCCATACCATAAGGGCAACGACAAGGTAGGTCTCCAGTCTTGAGACTGCCTCTTCTGTGATTTCATCTTCTTCCTACCACAGGCTGGATGTGTGGGAGGATCTGCTTCTTAGGGAGTCACTAGTGACAGGGCTGGGGAAATAAGACGAATATGTGGGTGAAGAGCATTGGGTTAGGTGCGGAGGAAGAGCTTTCCAGGTGGGGGAGTTTGGGATAAATATATTGTGAAAGAGGCTCCGTATGGGACTGCCCTTTCCTATGACCACTTTCTTTCCAACCAGGGCGATGAGAGCCAGAGCCAGTCGGTGAGGACACTGTTCCTGGAGCTAATCCGGGCCCGCCGGCCCCTGATACTGCATAATGGTCTCATAGACTTGGTGTTCCTGTACCAGAATTTCTATGCACATCTGCCTGAGAGCTTGGGAACCTTCACTGCTGACCTGTGTGAAATGTTCCCAGCTGGCATTTATGACACCAAATATGCTGCTGAGTTTCATGCCCGCTTTGTGGCCTCCTACCTAGAATATGCCTTCCGGAAATGGTGAGGGACTGGTTGAGGGGAAGCGGTGGGGCCTGGTATAAACCTATTTTTATATTTAGTGAGTGCCTATCATGTGCCAGGCACTGTTTTAGTGCTGGGGATTCAGCAGTGAACAAAACAGATATAAACCCCTGTTCACATGGAGCTTATATGCTAGTGGACCAATACCCTCTTGCGCTATTTCAGTGAGCGGGAAAATGGAAAGCAGCGGGCAGCCGGCAGCCCACACCTTATCCTGGAGTTCTGCAACTATCCTTCTAGCATGAGGGCCCATGTAGACTACCGCTGCTGTATGCCCCCTACATCCCACCGTCCTCATTCCACCGTCATCTGTGATAACTTCTCGGTGAGAACTCCCACCCATTTCCTGGGGGAGGGAAGGTTCTGATACCTGGAACCCCTCTCTAAGCCTCTTTCCTGCCTCTAGGCCTATGGCTGGTGCCCCTTGGGATCACAGTGTTCTCGGTCCCATGATATTGACCTTATCATTGACACTGATGAAGCTGCCACAAAGGATAAGCGGCGACGGCGACGACGTAAGGAAAAACGACGGAGGGCTTTGTTGGGCCTGCCTGGGAAACAGAGCTCTGGGGAAGCCGAGGATGGTCCTCCCACTAAGCAGGTCTGTGGGGATGGCGCTGAGGCTGAGGAAACTGAGCAGGAGGTGGCTCAGGACGAGACTAGCAACCAGCCTGGCTCTGAGCAAGATCACAGAAATGACTTGGAGATGGGACTTAAAGCAACAAGGGCTGAAACAGCTGACATGGCTGCCTTAGAAGCACCAGGGAGTCAAGCCAGTCCTAACCCAGTGCCTGGGGATGGATTGCATCGGGCTGGTTTTGATGCCTTTATGACAGGTTATATAATGGCCTACATGGGAGTAAGCCAAGAACCTCAGCCCTGTAGCTCTGGACCCTGGCTACCTGAATGCCACAACAAGGTATACCTGAGTGGCAAAGCTGTACCCCTCACGGTGGCCAAGAGCCAGTTCTCCCGTTCCTCCAAAGCCCACAACCAGAAGATGAAGCTGGCTTGGGGCAGCAGCTGACCTAACTACTGCTTAGCACCCAGAGCCCAAGAAGAGAAGCTGAGGGTAGAGCAGAGGGGTCTGGTCCCTCTAGCCTATGAATGTCCTACTCCCAACTACTACAGAGTTGGGGAGGAGGGCTCCTGACAGAGATACTGCTGCATTGCTCTGGACTTTCTTTACCCCAGAGGCTGAGAAACAATGGTACAAGTAAGAAGGCTGACCAGCACCTGTAGTAACCAACTTTATTTTTAAGTCTGAGAGTGTCTTGGGAAAGTTTTACCAAAAAATCAGCAGAAACAAGTTATGAAAATGTTTGACCAGCTTTATCTTTGGTTATTTCTTATTGCGGCTCTATAAAGACAGACTGTTCCCGTAGCTCCAGCCATAGCAGGGAAGGAAGAAAATCAGTCCATGTATAAACCGTTTAACCAATTGGGTGTATCACATGTTGACAAATATATGGGGCAGGCCCTAGGGCCTACAAAACCAGCCCCACTCCCAACCACAAGGTTGAAAGTCTTATAGGGCAGAACATTAAGACTCCCTTCATAAATATGAAAATAGGTTAATGAACTGGAAAAGATCTTTGAATAGGTTAGCTAAGAGCCATGACCACCACACTGCCTTGTCCTCCCCTTGCATAGAAATGTAGTGACGTGGTCTGACTGTGCAGTAAGTGCAAACAGCAATTATTCAAGTGTCTTAGACATACTGGCAAGAAGCACCCCAGTCTTTAGGTCTGAGAAATAGCCATGCCCTTTTCGGCCTCCTGGTCAGCTCCACGTTCCATCCAGTAACTTATATGCCCCAGGGAAGGGCAAGAGACAGACCTGGGGTGGAAGAAGAACCTGGGGTAATAGTCTGCCAGCTCAAACTAGAACTAGGAGTCCTCTGGTCTTGTCTGCAGAAACGCATTGTGGGTCAGCTGGGAGCCAGAGCTCCTTGCAGGATTTCAGAGGCTTGGAATCAGCTGTTGGCCCCAACAAGGAAGGCTTCTTACTGCTGCCTCCCCTCTCACAGTCACTGGGCACTTGGAGCCCCAAAGTTGAGCCTGACTTGGCCTAGCCTGCCTGCTCTGTGGGCTCCAGGGAAGAGTCAAGGCTGTGCACCAAGGGGGCCCTGTGGCTTCAGCTGAAGGTCCATCCCCATGGTGAGACAGGGATTAACCCCTCAACCATCCTGCTCTCCCTGGGTTTTCAGGCCTCTGCCTGAGACAGAGAAGGGGACTGGAGCCGAATCTCTTGGCCTTTCTTCTACCTCCATCTCTTCAGAGGCACCTGCAAGGCATGGACTGGCCCCCCGAGGCCTGGGCCCAAAACCATTTTCCTCCTGGGAACTGGAGCAGTCCATGGCTTCATGGGCTGGAGCAGCTGGTAGGGCAGATGCTCGGAATGGCGGGATCTCTCTTACTTTGTACTTGAGACTACTGAGACGTGGTGGGGGCCCATCAGACAGTGATTCTTCTCGGCCTACAAATGGACAGGCCTCTTGATGCAAGAACTCTGGTGAACCAGGCAAAGAATGCCACCGGCGAGCAGGTGGGGCCAGGGGTTCCTGCCAGTCAGCCATAGGCAAAGTTCCAGGCCCTGGTGCATCCAGGTCAAATACCAGGGAAATAACAGACTTGCTGGGCAGGTCAAAGAACTTGACCTTGCCACCCTTGAGGTCCTGGCGAGCACTGAAAGGGTTGATTTTGGGGGTGCTGGCAGCACCACCTCGTGGCTGGTAGTAGGGGTCCAAGACATTCACTGTATGTGGGGGCTTATGGGAGAAGATGTCTGACTGGCTACGAGACAGCCAGATGGTACGTCTTGGGCGTGGGGACTTGGGAGGGATCTTCTCATCTAGTGAGCTCAGTCGCTTCATCCCAGGTCCTTTCTCCAGGAGTCCTGAAGGACAGTACATCAAGTCAGGATTACTGCACTAGTCATAACAAATACAAGCACTACACTAAGTGTTTTTTCTTGGGAAAACAAAGTAGGTACTGTTGTCCCCATTTCACCAGTGAGAAAACAGACTGAAAGAAGGAGGCAGCATACCAAATCACAACTCTTGGAGTTCAGTATTTTTCCCATGTCCCCCATCCCTGCACCTTTCGTTTGGACATAGGATCCTGCCTTCACAGCCCTAGAGGGGAAGACCCCACAACCCTAATTTCTTACCCTTAGCAGTGGGCTGCAGCTCTTCCTCCTGTAGGTGGTTCAGAATTTCCTCCAGGTTCTTCCCAGTCTCCACAAAGGATGGGCGCAGTTTGGGGTCCATCTGTAGTTATCCACAGCAGCGATTAGCCCTGCCCTCCTACCTTCCACCCACAAGGATAGCATTTTAGTCTGTTTCTAGCATCTTTTAAGACTCAGATGTGCAGCTAAGAGACCTTTTCTGAAGGCCGCAGACCCTGAGGATGATTCCCAGAGCTAAGGTCAAGGAAGATGCTATCGTCTAATACCCTCCCCTGTCTCAGTAATCTTTCTGTGCCTTACCCTCTTTTGGCACAGAACCCTCCAACAGGTTATGCTCACATTGGTTTGTTCTTTCTTGAGTCTGCTGCTAATGTGTTTCTCGAGGTTACCTAGACAAAGCCCATCTACTCCTTGGTCATAACAGGTAAGTCAAGCCTCAGAGCTGTATAAAATGAAAGCTAACAAGAGCCTTTCCCATCAGCCTTAGGACCAGCTGGATCCACAGTCTAACTAAAACCTGACCAGAGCTCCACCAACACCCAAGGCAAGGGGTGGTGGGTCTACCCTGCAGGCTGAGGAGCAGACATTACAAAGCAATTTTCCTTTATTTGGTCCAGGGCTCTGGAGAGTCTGGCAGGCCTCCAGAGGAGGAGCCATGAGCATTGTCATTCATCAGTGAAAATGAGGCCCCTCATTAGGCTAGGCTCTTTCTACAGTTCTAACCAGGTGAACCCAGCCCCTGACCAAAGCTGGGGGCAGGAGGATACACTCACATTACAGCAGTTGAAGGTAAGCTGCAAAAAGTCTGGGGGACAGTCTCCCACCATGTGCTGGAAAGCGTCATAGTCCAGCCCGAAGTTCTGTGAATGGGTGTGGGGGGGAGGGAACAGAGGACATGGGTAGACAGGTCATTAATCCCTCCATCCATCCTGGCTTGCTCAGAAGGAGAGGCTGAGAATTGCCCCTGAGAAGTAGCCACATATACTAAGTTCCAGCAACTCCACCCCAAGAACAAAATGGTTCCACAGCCTCAAAAGCAGCCCCATCCCAGTGGCACTGATCCCCATGCCTGCAGCTCACCTCTGTGCGGGGAAGATAGTCCGGATCAGCCTGGATACGGGCGATGATCTCACAGAGGATGATACCATAGGAGAATACGTCCGCCTGATGGGTAGTGAGACCTCAGTTTCCCTTTCAGTGGGCTGAGAAGTGAGGTTTCTGCCCCTCATGTCCACAGCCCAGGCCTAGACTCTACTGCACATATTTCACTGGGTAGCTGCCAGGTACCAGCCCTGCTCTTGGTTGTAGATCCTCCCCTAAACATAAAGGGTGATCCTGGACACTGCTAAGAGTGGATTCTAAGGACAACCAAGCCTTGGGACCCCCAGACTCACCTTCTCATTGTAGGGCTCATCTCGGAGAACTTCAGGTGCCATCCAGAAGGGTGAGCCCACCACAGCCAGCTTTTCCCTCCCCATGCTATAGGGTGAGATGATAGAAAAATTGAGCTTGCTACTGGCTGGTATAATAGGATATCTGAATATTGGAAATTCTTCTCCCCCAAGGATGGGTATAGACGAGGAATGACCAAATTTAGGGAGCTGAGGTTGAGCTGTGACCAAGTCCTGGCCTCTGGGGAGGAAGCAGGAGTGTTTTGGGGTGTTTTTTTGTTTGTTTTTTTGCCTTAGTCGCTTCTGTAACCCCAGTACCCATTAGGGCTACTCACCTGACATCAGGGATCTTCTCAGCCAGGCCAAAGTCACCTACCACCGCAGAGTAACCATTTTCATCCCTCTTTATCAGGCAGTTCTAGGGTTCCCAAAGAAGAAGACAGTGTGGCTCAGAAGTGGGGACCAGCTATTCATAAAATTACCATGATAGCGATGTGAGATGAGGTAGGCCTGGATCTTGAGTGGTTGCCCTAGGATTCGTATTACGCTCCAAACACAAATACTTATCTTTACTTTCTACGTGCCAGGCAAGGTTCTAACGGCCAGAGATACCTCAACAAACAGAAACCCCTGTCCTCTTGGAGCTAACAATCTAGTGAGGAAGACAATCAGGCCCCTGGCTTCCCTCTTCAGAATGTACAGACCAAAGACCTTGCCAAGAAATACAAGCATAGAACAAGTACCCAAACATAAACTAACTTTCACTGCCCACAGGATCACAAATAACCTCCTCTCTGGTATTAAAAGTCTATGATCTGGCTCTAAACCAACTGCCTACCCCCCACCAGCTCCTGTCTGCCCCTGATGCCCGACTGCACACATCTTCATGCAGACTTTCATAGACATGCTTGACTTGAAGGCCCTGTTCAGATATCCCATTACACCAGCCAGTGGCAAGGTCATGCTTATACTGTTCTGTTCCATTTGGTGTTCTCCCAATTCTCCTTTTCACCTCAAAATGTTATATGTTTTAAGGCAAGATACCTTTCCAGTCCTGTCCTCTCCAGCTCTCATCTTTATTTCTTTCTCATTTCAACTCCTTTAACTCCTCCTCTATGCCACTTCCTCTTAAAGTCTAGCAGGCTATCAGCTCCTCAGGAGCAAGTTCTGGTTCCTCACAGTATTCAACTCATAAGAGAGGCTCAGGTCATGCTCACTAAACAACTACTGTCTCCAGAAAAAAGGATAAACCCAAACAGCTTGTAAATAAATACAAAGCAACAAACTCTCCTCAAACAGTTGCATTCAAAATAGTCCTACACCACTCTGCTCTACCCACTTTCTCCAGAGGCAGCAGAGAGTAGGGATCCTTGGCTCACAGGGACATTTCTGGGGCCAGCAAGGCCCTATCTGACCCAAACCAGCCCTCCCTCCTCCTCACCAGCCT